TATGGAGGACAGACTTTATGATCATCTGTATGAACCTACATTTACACTTGAGTGATTAAACATCACAGAAGTCACGTTACCTTGTTAAACTCACAATTTCTGCTGAAGCTATGAACATGGACCAGGAGGAATCATTGCTCTTAGAGAAGCTGAGGAGGTAAATTGTAAAGTTTTATGTTTATGGAAGTTCTATCCTGTGCCAGATCCAGACAAGGACAGGAAGTGCCACCTTCTCCCCTGCATGCCTGAAATGAACAATTCATTGCAGACATCTTGAGTTCAGATCCTGCACTTCCAGCTCTAATCAAAAAAATGATGAAAGTGCAGTGTACAATCTCTTCTTCTCTCCGTTAGTAAGCCAATGAGCTTATTAAAAAGGTGCCCATACTCCCGTTATCTAGTACTTCTGTGATGTACTCACCTTTCTGTGGCTGAGATGCAAGAGGGGGAAAAAAACCCTGAGGAAAATCCTATTTGTTCAGTAATAATTGTTACACTTTAGATTTTAAAAACTGAAAATACCTATTGATTTCAGGTATTATTAAAAATGCTTATAAACAAAGTTTTTAGCAATTGTAAGACTGGAAACAATATAGAAAATGAAAAATTTCTTTTTTCCCCTTCTAAATTTATACTGTGAAGCACATGATGATACTACAGATCTAAGTGTTGGGGATGGGCTTAAATACACACATTAGTAGTGCCCTGGCCTAAAGGCTGCAATGTATAAATAGGACAACTTGCTCACTAATAATGGCAAAGAAAGGCTATTTTGCAGAATGGTGGAGCTTCCAGATAAAAGTGTCATTGTTCTGCTTATTTTAATACTAGATTATGGTGTGTACTTTTCTTTCTCTGGTTTACTGGTAGTTCCAATTCTAAATAGCCAAAGTTTTAACTGTGTAGAAGTGACTTCCCTAGCTACTAGACAAACAGGTGAAGTAATCTGTAAGAATTAAGACTCTTAGTTTCATGTTAAACAAAATGGCAGCTCTCATGAACCCCAATGAACAAGAATTGTCAGTGCCATGTCATTTTTACACCTAACAAAATTTTATGCTGAATAGATATCAACCATGCCACAAAACTAAATAGGAGTACTTTGGTCAAGCAGGAATCTGTTCCAAGAGCACGAGTGTATGCGAACACTTAAAAAAAAGTTATTCAAAATAAGCAGATTTGGATCAACGTCACTATTTAGGTCTATGGAATATTCTGCACTCTTTATACAACGATATCTTTTTTCAAACTTACCTAACTAGACAACAAAATTGAATAAACAGCCATTTAAAAAAAAAAAAAAAAACCAAAAAACAAGTACATTGTTTACAAATTTGCTGTGAAAGCAGAACCAAAACTTCACTTAAAGTGTCCTTCAGGAGCTACACACACACACACAAACCCAGAACACCACAGTTGTGAAGGTGTTTTCACAATATCTCAGATAAGTCTACCACTGCTATTAATCACAGCCATTTCCGTACAGTAGTTTAAAACTGGATCCGTATCAACAGGGCAATAAATACTACCAGCTGTGGCCACTGACGTGTACTGCTGCCTTAGCACCTACTGGATCAGCAGTTTTGTGTTTTACAGTTTCACTTGATGCTTCCTCCATTCAGCAGGTTAAAGAATGTGCTTTTCTGTAGCAGACTGGAGGCACGGCAGGTGCTGAAACTACTGATGAGCCAAAGCTGTGTTCCTTGGGCACCCAGCATTCCCAGCTGGCTGCTCTGTCCCTTTCCCTCCTGCGTATGCTTTCACACGTCCATAGCCTATGAAGTTTAAGGAAGTGCTGACTGCACAGAGACTGCAGCAATGAGGACCTGCAATCGAGAGCACAAGATGACTGCAGGACCAAGCTTATCCTCAGCAAGTGGCCTGCTTAGGAGAACGGATAATCCTTCTGTTGAAAGCACAAGTAAAAGTGAAATCCAATTGCCAACTGAACGCCCATGATCCACTGCAGAGTTTCACAGGGACAAAGTATGTAACTAAAATTCTGATCAGAAGGAAGTGTTTTAAGAGAAAACACAATTGAAAAATTATGCTATAAAACTACTGATTCATCAGGCAAACCTCAGGGACCACCCCAAGCACAGCTGGGGGGAAAGAAAAAGGTGCCAGTGGTTCAACGTGCATGAAGTTCCCCGCCACAGCACATCTGTTGAACTGCCAGCCTCCTTGTGGGAAGTCTAAAAATCACACTCGCCTAGTTCATGCTCTCACCTCCAGCAGAAGTTTTTCTACCATTTTAGTGGCAACGGGCTAGTGCTTTCAGAACAAATAAATGCATCTGGCATCTGATGTGTCAGAAGCTCAGCTCCTAATTAACATGAAGCCTTACCCTCCAGGCTAATGCCTGTACCAGTGTGTGCCAAAGTGCCCAGCTGGAGCCATGTGGTCAGGACATAAACCATTCTATCCCTGAGCAAGAAGTAGTGCTGGAATTACACAAAGGCCACATGAGCTTCTAAGAAATAAAAGTTAGGGAAAGTTTTTTCAGCTGGATTTCAATACCATGTGTAGAAACTTTGAAATTGTTACCACTCTGAATCATGCACACACACACGCACACATTTGTTATACTACTATTAGCTCATAATCATAAGAGAAGCCAGCACAGTGACGACTGTAAAGGTGACCCAGTTATTAATAGAAATACACAAAATCAGAGTTTTCACAACATGGTACCCCACAAAATGACATTGTATCTGCAAGAGTAGAAGACAGACCTTAACAACCTAGGAGACTTCTCTAACCTTGTGCTCAGACACTAGTTCCTTTAATACAGTCACAGAATTACACGTAGATCTCTCTTTTGAAAGGAAGTAGGCCTTTCTACTATAGCAACTTAAAACAAAAAAATAATTTGGAGTCTCTTGGATGATAGAGGTAGATGGCTAAAGCAACATTAGCTTTGAACTTTGCAGCAGGAACAGTGATTACTGTCAGGAAGCGTGCTACACAACACCCAGTGCTTAAAAAGAACTTTGCAATCAATGTTGCTTTTAGGTCCCCTCAGCAAATTTAAAATTTGCCTAGTCAGTTCCTCCCTCGCAATCCTTGGATTCCCATGCCTATTTAAAACTAACGAGCAGAAGCATGCCAACAGTGAACTGACTGGAGGGAGATGGAGTCTGGTGTACCTGTGCAATCTCCTCTCTGCAGAGGGCAGGAGAAAGGAGCTATGTGATTAGAATTCATACGCACAGTGGGCTGATACAGAACACAGAATAATTCCTCCAAGTTTGTGGGTTAAGGAACGAGGTGTGATACTACTATGAAAGCATTCGTAAACCTGAAGGTCGCTTCAATGTAGTTTGTGGATATCTTTCACTTAGCAACAGAGCATAAAACCCCAGCCCCTGTAATGTAGTTACCCACTCCCAATTAGTGTGAGCTACCAAACTTTTAATATCTTTCATAAATCTTCAGCAAAGACTACCCCTTCCCTTAAAGGAAGCATTATAAAAACCAAATTACTGACGTACCAGAAATCTTACAGGAAATTTGAAATAGGTAACTGACAATCTTGCCAAGTAACATCTACAAAAAAAAATAAAAAAATCTCAATTTATAAGCTACTTTGCTGACTTTTAAGGCAAAAGCCACATTACTATGCCCTTCAAAAAGCACACTGAAATTTTTGGGTGAATAGGGAGTACAGAGTTAGGTTTACTGCTGCACTCTTAATAGTTTTCCATTGCATTTCTTGTTTGCTTTACATGTCAACTTACAAGACTGTTTCTGGTCTAGCTACAGACTAGGAAAACCTGAAAGTAAGTGGCAGGGGTGGGGGGAAGGCATGACACCCTCTTCACCCCAACTCCTTGAAATTAAAAAAAACAAACCTGAAAAAGAAATCTATTGACTTTAAGCTTCCTCAGTGTCAATAGTCTGGTTTTAACTTTTAAAGAAAAGGGGTTTTTTATGTGCATTTGTAACTTCACTGCATGTTTTAAAACACGTTTCAGTTCCATCATGAAAGTTCTCTTGGTGCATTTAGTGCAGTGGAAGTATCTGCAGACTGCTAATATGTTAAATTAACTACAACACTTTAGAATATTGCCACTTAGGGAAAATTTCACATGCTTTACTTCTAGTAAGTTAATTAGGAGATTCAAGAGACACTTAAATCAGTAGGAAAATGTCTGTTTGGCACCTGTAATTTGGCATGTCCATTCTCTGAAGCTCAAATGCTGTTAATTCTGAATGCTACAGATTGTCTTAACACAGCAGTTGCTATAAAGCATGAGAAGGTAAACAATTTACTCATAGGAATTCCATTACTTTTTTCTCCTCCAGTGTAAAGATTCTCATTAGAATAATGAAAAAAAGTGATTGCTCTGAAGATTGCAGATCCCTTATTAAAAGGGCTCTCTTTACCTTCCCATCTTAGGATCTGTCTCAGACTGAGATGGTCAGAGCCTTCTCCTTACTCGGAGCAGTCCACACATTTTGCACAGTCACCAAGTTCCACGTAACAATGTGATCTTTGAACACTCACACATTACTTTGTATACGGTAACACTGACTGCTTCAAACTGTGGCAGACACAATTATTTCTAACATGAAGTTTTTATGATTTGGTTCATCAGTGGAGTTCTCCCATTTACGTGATGTCCAGCACCTCACACCAGCACAAGTGCCCACACTGGGGTCTGATGACCAGCGCTGTAAGCTGAAAGGAAACCTTGGGTTTAATGCACCCAAAAAGCATCTTGGTGTACAAATCCTGACCACCCACTATTGTAGTTCCCACTTCTGCTTCCCTTGCAAGTGTATCACTTCATCTAAAGCAAAGTGGAAACAGATACAACTATTTAATGTTTAAGTGTAAACCTTGTCAGAAACCTATAGGACCTCCTCTTTATACTGTTTTGGGTGCAGCTAGTGAGCTGATACCACAATCCTTCTTCTGAGGAAAATCAGCCTGTTACAGCTTTTTCTCTTATTGCACGTTTTATTATATCAGTTGTAAAAAATAACCAAAGATGTTTCCTGTTGCTTTGATGTTATAAGCACTTGCAAAATTTTTAATTGTTTTAAAATTTCCCAATAGACATGTCAAGAGGAATAGACTGGAAGTTCCCCAGTTGGTGTAAGAAGGCAGAGTCCACAGCAGGGAAGACTCTGAGGTACAGGTTCCCCTCTACATCTCTTGGTTTGAAGCTGCCTAAATACTATCTCTGAGGCATGCCTACAAGTTTAGTGGGGTGCACCCAAGATCTATATTCCCAAGCTTCCTAGGGGACAGATTCAAATTTGTGAACTCCACCTCGAACCCAGGCAATGGAGGGCAAATGCCTGTCGTGATCCTTGTCTGATTCGGGCTGGCTCTGGGCACGCTCTGGCTTGGGGTTCAAGGAAGGCGGGTCAGGTTGCTGTACAGACATAGTCCTGCGGAGATGGTTTCTCTTGCGCAAAAACTCAGGTTGGGAGTGGAGGCCAAAGCTGCCTTTTCTCAAGATCATCCGAGAGTTGTTCTTTTTGGGTCGTGAATGGAGACTGAACTCCAGTGAGGCCAAGTGGGCTGCGTAACCTTCACTGAGGAACTGTAATAGGAAGGAGAGAAAGGGAGTGACAAATTACTGCTGCCTCGAACTGCGAGCTCTACAAGGAATTAAGTTCCTATCTTTGGCATCCCAGTTAGACACTTACAGAGTACTAATACTCCTCTCCCCTCGCCTTTTTTTATTTCCCAGCGACCTGTTCCATTTTGTCATTCAGCAATATCCAGTGCATGCACTTGCATACATACAACCTATGACCACTCAGTTCTCTTTACTATTCATCGTGGCAGAAAATGCCTCATCTGAAACCAAAACTGCCCTTTCTCTGAAACAGTCTCTGCTCTTTATCTTTTGTGTGTGTGTGTGTGTGTGTGTTTGTGTGTGCATTCATAAGCGTGCATTTCCTTGTTCCCCCCCAGGCCTTCCTGACTGAGTAGCAGGAGTGAGTTACTTACTTGACACTGTGCCTGGTATTTCTTTGTTGATCGTCCAACTATGTAGATCTGGGATGGTGACAGAGCCAAGACATTGTACACAGAAATATCCTTCATGGAACCGTATGCAGCACAGATTTTGATGTGGCACTGAAACAAATATTACTTCAAAGTGAACGCTCTATTGAACACCATGCGCTACAAAGATGACACTTGTTTTGCAATGAAGCAGCAGAGTTCATTGTTAACAACTTCATTCTTGAAACCACAGAAAGCTAAATCTGTCTGTCTGCATGCCCGCAAGAACTACAGAAATGCACACTGGAAAGAGCAAGCAGTTCATTTGTCATGCCAGGAGCCCCTCTGGATGTTTTATCAGCCTTCCTTGCTCTTTAAAAAGTGAAAAAAGAAATGAGGAATGTCAAGAACACTTTGTGATGGCCAGTGAGATTTACTGTTCAAAAGAAAGGGAGGTCTCTAACTTCACTGAATGACATTATCTGGAAAAAGGCTTTAAGGCTATAAACAGGTTTCTAGTACCTCTTGCATGAGATTCCGAAGAAAAATGGTCTTTTGTCGCAGTGGATCATGAACAAGTCCATCTGAGAAGAAGATCATCCCTTGTGGGAAGTTGTGTTGAGACAACCATGAAACTACACGCTGTTTTTGCATATCTGGACGGCCAGTAATATAGATAATCAGATATCCCAGGTCCTGCCAGTGCCTGTCAGAAAGAGCAGGTAAATTATGTAGGTACAGAAAGAGAAACAATACAGGTCAGGTCAGCATTTCTTTGCTCAGCACAGACCCAATTAGAAGTCGGACGTTATACTTCAACAAGTGGAAGGCAGCATGCCTAAGTCTCTTCTCCTATCAAAAAATTAAGTAATAATGTCTACCTCTTGAGGGAGATGGAGGAAAGCAAGAGAGATTCTTATACCATATGTTATATTAAATATGAGAGCTATTTAAAAATGTATTTAGAATAGACCTTGCTACATATCAAGTCCTGCTACCTTTTAAACCTTTAACAAGATTTCCTGCCATTTCAGCTGTGAGTAGTGTAAACCCTTGAAAACTCACATCCCTCCATTCCCATGCAAGTTCCAAAATGAGAGTTGTATTTCCCCATCCAGTGCAACATTAATAGAATGGATTAAAATGCCTTTTAAGTTTTCCTCAAAAGCACTCCTGCATTCATAGCACTTGGTATTTCTGAAGCAGAAGTATGTCTTTATTTGAAGTTAGTGAAACACAAAATACACTCTTTGCTAATTGCAGTAACACACAGAATCATTATTAATTCACTGCTCATACTTTAAGGCCATATTGCAAGAAGCAACTTTTAATCTTTAGGCAACTTGAACTACCAATTTCAAAGTAAACCACAGCATTCTAATATTCCTCTGAAAATCAGGCAGACCTGATGACCAAGCAAATATAGAAATATATGTGCAAAGAATCCCGGCCTTTAAAGAGCTGCTGTTTATTTAGTAAAAAAAAACCCAACCCATTTTGCCCTCTTCTTTCCTATTAAGGAAGTTCAAACAGGATAGTCAGAGATTTAAAAAGGGAAGTGTGCAAACCTCACTTACCTGACAACATCAACGGCCCCAGCTCGGACTTTGGGGTCACTTCCCATAATTGAAACACTTGCTGCAAACGAACCATCAATGCTGAACACAACACATTCCATTCCTCGGGGAAGCACAGTCAGGTAACTTGCAGCACTGCTCTGGTCCCCTCTGGAGAGTCAAAGCAATAAATACATTTAAAAAGCAAACTGTCAGAATGTATTTTCTGCATGTTCTAAGACCTGAAATTAGATCTGTCTGGTACAGCTTCAAAAATTGCTTTCAGTGGGGCTTCTGATTTCAGTCCTGTGTGGGGCAATTAAAAATTACACTTTTAGGAAATAGCTTTCCAAAGAGAAATTTGGAAGCTGTCTTTAATAAGAAATCACATGTGTATAAATACCTAAAAGAATTAGGAAGAAAAACCCCAAAACAGTCTGAAGTACTCAAACTACTACTCAAACATGCTACCTGTCTATATATGTGTATACATATGTCTATATATGTACACATATAAGACATGAATGGTATATATATGCACACACACAGAACACAGAGAAATTAGCTAAATTTTTTTTCTGGCAGTCTACAGTTCCTGGCAAATTATTAGAAATTACAGGGGAAGAATTGATATGCACCTTTTATTGGCATGTACTTGTACAAATCATCTTTTCTCCATTAGATAAACAGCTGGTAATACTAGCATTACCCATCCCTCTACTCTTGCAAATTATAATGGGAATGCCAATCAAGAAAAGTGTTAAAAAAAAAAAAAAAGCCCACCCCAAAACAATCATAGATGGCTTTTCTCATGGAAAGGCACGTGAAGTACAATCTTCTTCTCATTATGTATTTTCCCCAAGAGGTCTGGACATTAAAACACTAATAAAGCACAAAGCGATCCAAAGCTCTTACCATGCCATGACCCCATATTCCCTAAAAAATGTAATCTGAAGACCACATCTTCTTTCCTTTAGAAAGCTGATTATTGTATGATCTAGGAATATACATTTAGTGATGTAGATTCTTACAGCTTAATGAGCAAAGACGGCATTTTTTTTCATTCCTGTTTGAAACTCACTTCTCCTGCAGTCTGAAAGCCCATGGGAGCTTAGCTTCTGAATACACCTTCATTCATTTTTAAGTAACTCTCTTTCCTTGAATTGATTGTCTGTTCCACTACACTGAGGTAAAAACGTTTCTTCCTCCTCAATTAGCACTACATAAGATTGCAAATTGACTTTGGACTTGGTTAACTGAGGGTAACAACACATTCTGTTTCAGCTAAATTCATCCCACTGATTGAGCCTCCAAAGCAGGGATTCAAAGGAAGCTGTAAAGCCACTTCCTAAGTGGCTAGGCAATTTCATTGTAACTGCAATATTAAACTAAAACTCTGCATTAAATCAAACCAGACTTTTATTAAACATAAGATTTTTTAAAAGCACAACTACCCCAGTCCTGCACCTAAGCCATAAAAATTTTATTTCACACTTCTTCATTCTTCATGCTTTACTTAGCATAGAGATTGTTAAGAAATGCTGGCGAGCTAAGAGAGCTGACTGATTTTACTTCAACAAGTTGTTATTTTCAGGTGCTGGGGTTTTTTTTCTTTTTCTCAATTTAGGATAGGCATGGTCTTGAGTACAGAATTAAGGTAACTCTTTTGATCAGCCTGACATCAACAGATAAACAGGTGGCTGAGAGCAAGGCAGTATGTCCTCTACTGTCAATTTCAATAAGAAAAGCTTCTTACCAGTCTGAAGAACACAAAGCTATACTCTTCAGCAGTGTTTTCCCTGATGAACAGGCTGCAAAATATCCCAAGTCATACATTCTTCCCATAAGAAGACCAATTATGGTCATCCAGTCCCCATATTTTGCAAGACCAAGTGCTCCTAAATGGAATTGCACTGAGGATTTGTTTTGGAGTAGGGATAAACCCACTGGCCTAGGCACCTCCAAACTGGCCAGTAAACAAATTATCACTGCTTCACGTCTAAGCTGACAACACAGCCACAAGACCAAGAGAAGATAGCTAACTGACCAAAATCTCCCTCCGCACGCCCTTCAATCTTACACACCTTGGTGTCTTCCTGGTCCCAACAACCCATCCCAGCTGTAGTTCCAGCTTGGAGCTATTACCTGACCACCATTTTGATGGGATACACACCAACTCTCAGTCTCTTTTGTGTGGGTATGTTGTAGGATATCCGGCCACTGCTGTTGGATATCTCTGTGTCAAAGTACACCCACCTACCCGAAGAGGGCTCAGTCATTATGAAGATATCAACCTGCAAAACCAAAAAAAGATCATCTACTGTGATAGCAGGCAACACAGCCCCCGCTGGGCCTCTTGGCCCGCCAGCCCTAGATCACATTTGTATCTCCAACTACGGCTTATACAGTTCCAATCATGTCACATTACTACTTAAATCCTAAAACTGATCTTTACTCTTTCACGTGTAACAGAAACAGCAGCCACCCAGCCTCTAGAATCCCTATTCCTTTATCTAGTTGTCTTACCTGGATAGGAGGATATACATTTTTCTTTTAGTGATTTGCCAACCACTCTAAAATTCCTTTTCCTCCTTGCTCAAAAAGGTAACTGTCTCAGGTAGGCGGTACACTTGGATGGCAGGTTCAGAAATCAGTGCTCAGCACACTCATTAACCACAGGAGATGGCCAGCATCATGTAAGGAGGTTGAGAGCTGGGAAAAAGGTCAGCTATCAGGAAAGCCCCCTTGCAGCACATTTTTGCTGAAGCAGTGGGGGCTGGTGACATACTTCCCCTCACTGTAAGGCTTTCTCTGGTACTATACCTGTGTGCTACATTCAACAACTGTTTCTAGTAAAAGCTCGTTCAGAAAAATAAGGAAATTAATTGCTCAGACTTTACCTTTTCACCTGTTAAAGCGACCATGTCAAGAGGCCCATACATAAAGCGCCCAACTAGTACTTGAGGACCGTCTTCTGCTGCAATGACATCATTAGCTCGGTGATTAGCAGTCACATTCTGAAATAAGAGCAGAAGGGGGAAAGAGCAGTGTTTGCTTTTGTAATGAGGCTACTGTCTCTGTTGTGTTATTAGTGACACAGAAACACAGCCCTGGACAGTGTGTCTGAACTACGTCAGGTACATCACAGTGCACCTTAGAGAACCCAGAAAAACTGTGTTCCTATTTCAGCTGGAGACAGGTTTCCAGTAATGGTGGATTTCTGAATAGACTTTCTAGTGAGAGTGCCCAAAATGACCAAAGAAGACAGAATACCTAAGGGAATGCCAATTATCTTGCAGTTCAAGTGGTGCCATGGATTCACATGATTATGTGCAAGACACACGCATCTTAATTGACATTTCTAACTGAAGTGGCATCTGAAGAATGAAGAAAACATTTTTTTCTGGAGTTATGGATTCATCTAGCATATAACAAAGTAGAAGAGCAACCTCTTTGTGTAACTGAAACTTAAGGCCCTCCTGTTATTTAAAGAAAGAAATGTACTCTCTCCCAACATGTAGTGATAAACTAGGAATAAACTGTTTCTATTCCCTAACTGTTAGTTTGTTTGCCTCTGGATTATGTTAGCACTTTTCAGCTCGTTAGTAACACTCAGTTACGAAAACTCATGTTTTGGGAGATCAAACTTCATTTAAATTGCTGCTAAACCCAAGTTCTATAGCTGCTATATATTCAGATTTATACTTACTCTCAGTTTGACATGCGTCCTTTTGCGTAGCCATTTTTCTCGTGGATTGGATGGACTTAGTGTTGCTGGATCCAGGTTGTCATTATCCTTGAAATTTACATTTTCATACCTCATCACCTGAAATTATATTAATATTTTAATAAACAGTGTGTGGCCTGGGGAGTCCTGGTACTTGGCAAAGAAAGGGAAAGTACACTGCTGCCCCAGCTGAATGCTGCTGCAGAGCCAAAAGCACAACAAAAGCAGAAAGAGGTACAGACCATATGTTCATGTTAATTGTATGGACAAATAAACTGCTTTCACTCTGTTGCCCAACACTTAACCTCAAGTACTTATTGAACAGCTTTTCCATTCACAACAGAGCTTGCACATTCTTCCAGAGAAAACGGTGAAAACATTAGGATGGTATGAAGTGATGGTTACATTGCCTGCTCACAGTCTGCAAAATCAGTAAAGCAGCTTAAGACCACATTAGTATTTTTTAATGTCCTTTATGGGGCAGAGGTCAGATTCCTGACTCCATCTGTATTCATTTTCTACGTGTATACCCAGACAGAATGGTTCTTACCACCTTTTGGATATTGCTCACCACTGTAGCAGGTGACAGGCTCAGGATTTGGCTTGTGGCTAGTAACATCTGAAGATAAGAGGACTGTAACTTGTGAACATGCAGAACCCTAGTATGTCATACTGGCTACACATTCGTATAACCTAAATGTCACACACCTACCAAGAAACTTGCATGTCCAACTCAGATTTCAGGACACAACCCGCAGATTTCAGCATCTGTGGGTCGTGCCCTGTCTCACTGAAATCTGTGGGCTGCACCCTGGGATTATGGATAGTGTGAGGCTAGTTCATTTTGAATGAGAAATAGCTTAGTTTGCCTCTTTTACAAGCTGGCAGAATATTACTCAAATTGAACAGTTGGTTTTCAGTTATGTGCAGTATTCTGCATTATTCTCTCTGCTGTTTGCATGGCAGCAGCTGTTTCGTTGTTCACTGGGTGTAAAACACACACTGATCCTTGCGTTAATCCAAATTAAACTGCTTGTGACTAGCTTTTGGGTGAGGGTCACTTTGGATTCTTGGAGGGACACTTATCCTGCAGGTTTCACTTGAACACCACTTAATTTTTATTTTTTTTTTACCCCAGGTGAGATTTATCAGCCTCACCACTTTCTCTAGTGGTCAAAGCACTGCATTATCCCTAAGTGACTGCAAGCTGCTGTCTAATTACTGACACAGTAAGAACAAGAGACCCTTCGTATGACTCAGAAATAAATTCTGAAGACAGTGCACACAATGCCTCAAAATACTCTAGTATAGTTACAGGAGAGGTTTGATTTTCTTATGGGAGCAGTACCTTCAAACTGGTAGTTTATTATCAAAGGTATGCTAATAATTTGATATTTGGTAGGAAAATACATAATTAAGTAAGGCTAGAGATATGCTATTCCTTCAAAAATTACAATTAATGCACAATACAGGGTTATACTGATCTGGGGCATGGGAGGGGCACATACGGTCTGCATGCCAGTGCGTTGTTCCCAGTCACAGAGTCAGCAGCAAGAACACCAGCCAGCAGCTCTAATGGTGGTCTCACTGTCCCCTTCCCTTCCCTGCATCTGTCGTTCCCACACACAGCTACTTGTGATGCAACCACAGTTAGCCGTCTAACTGAACTAAAGGTTAAAAGACTGATCACCTTGGAAGATACAATTAGCAATCACAAGGTTATTTGTTGCAGAGAGAAAAAACAGAGAGATCAATGACCTGTCTTAAAATGAAGGCCACAACGTCTGTCGATTCCCAGTAGCTGGCATGGAAGAGATGCGGCAGGGCCACAGTTGGAAAGGCTGTCAGCACATCTGGACAATACAAGGTATAATCTATTCGCTTTGTTCCCCACCACTTTGCAGTAACTACAAAACAAACAAAATAGCATCATATTTCTCTATCTTTTTAATAAATCTCTTGCTATCTTTATGTTTAAGCTAGAAAATTGAATGAAGTCTTCTGGTTTTTTGATCTTGACATTTAGAGACAGTTAAAGGTATCTTATCAACCGTGGAAGTACTGTTTCACTGACTGCATCATCACTTAAATGTCTGCAATTTAAACAGTTCTTTTGGGTCCAAGTTTTGTGAAGCAGAAATCACCTCAGCACAATTCTCATTGCCTCCTGGTCCATGGAAAACATACAGTGAAAGACTAGAACTTTATGATCACATTACAGAGTAAGAATTACAAATGCTTCCCAAGTAGTGAACAGAATATTGATATATGACTACAGTCCATAAAAGGACAATATAGTGATTTATAGCACTTTTAATTACAGGTAATAAAATCTTACCTATATATTTCTTCATGCCTGGAACATGCTCCTAAACCCCTTAATGACTATTTATGAGTTGCACCTTAATACAAAACTGTGACTTCAGTTCTATTACTTTATCTACTTAATTAAAAACAGAAGAAGAAGCTAAATTGTGTTATTTAAAACTGCAGCAACTTAGGCTATTCTCATTCTCCCCAAATGTCCAAGCAGGTAATTAATAAACTTTTCCACAGAAAGGATTTGGAGGGAAGGGCTGCTGACATATCAGACAGCACATGGCACCAGGCCTTACTCACTGTTGGTGGGGTATGCTGATGGCAAGCTTTCGGTTGACCCTGAGTTTTCACTGTTTGTGCTGGCCAAGCTCAACTTTCTTGTTTTCCCTTGTGGTTGATCAGATACGTTTGGAGATCCAGGACTCTCCTGAGAGAAAGGTATGTTCAAAGAGCTGTTCTCAAGGAACAGAGCACTGTGGCTGTGGATAGCATCACCTGCACGTTACAGAAACAAAAATAATAATTTAAAAAAATGGGCTGAACAGTATGGCTTTGAAACTTGTGTGTGTGTGCGTTCACTTATTTAAATACAGAGCTAATGAACATTTTCCTGAGTACAAGATTCAATGACAATGGATGAAACTCCTCCAGAGTGAGGAGGACAGCATGAGACAGCATGATGGACTGGAGAAAGCAGACCCTACTGCCATCAAAATGCAACGGCTGCAGGGTGCTTTTGGCCAAGATATTCCAAGCTGGGTGGTGAGGTTGGGAGGCTATTTTACTTCACACTCAACCCTATCCATTTTAGAGTCATTCTCTGAGAAGAGCTACACACCCCTGGGAGTCTGTGATACTTCTCTTGTCCTCTTCCTGACATGAGCAAAATTACTTTAGAAAGAAAACCTTCAGCAAGGCTATCTACTGGTCTGCATGTTCAACAGAACTCGCATTTATTCCTGCCACTCTGACAAAGCTATGGGCCATGGCCAACACCTCTACATAATGAAACAAACCACAGCCTTCCTCCTGAGGTGTTCTGAAACAAGTAAGAACAGACACGCATTTAAATAAAAGCATTACTGATAATTTTGCTTGAAGCAGCCTGCACGTCCCTCCTGTACCTAGGAAGGGCAGAACCTCAGCTGAGAGATACGATATACAGCAAAGCACATACCAAGAGCAGCTGACTCCTCAGTGGTGTTTTTCAGAAAACAAACCTCTTGGAAACATTAGAACAGTAAACAAAAGAAAAAGGGGACCCAGTTCAATGCACATAACACAAGAGAAAGCAGGTAGCCCTTCATGATGTGTTGCTCTATTTCTGAGTGTATTTCAGTCCCATTCAGACAAATAACTGTAATCACGCTCCAACAAATAGAAAACTGCCATTTTACTATATTAGCCTCCAACCTTAAACTCTGAATCCTGAAAAGCCTTTTTAAATATCCTGCTGAGGCCTGAATTCATGTCTGCATCTGTAGCAAAAAGGAATAATCTAATGTGGATGGCAGTACAGATACACACTGATCCATCCCTTTTTTGCATAATATGAGAAGTCAAGATACTTCGCACCTGTATGAGTTTATCTCTTTTTCTATAAGGTCAAAACAGCACAATTCCTTCTACCAGCACCTTGCTCATCCACATCGTCCTGCTTCCTCCCCACAAATCAGTATATTTCTGTTTTTTCCTGGATTCAAACATTTATTACCCAACATAACTATTGTTTAGTAGCCTACCTAGGAAAAGAGCAATCAAAAGACAACTTGCCCAGTGCTCTAATTTGTCTTAGTAGTTATCCACAACAAACTAACCACAAGTGACCAAGAGAAACAATATCTGAAAATCTAGGCAAATGTCAACTAATTGTAAAAATAAATTGTTTAAAATTATAGTCAAAGACATGGAAGTTTGCAAGTAACACTTCACCTGAAGCAGTGGTATCATCTTCTAACCTCTCTTTAAAACAACTAGTATTACAAAGCTCATACAAAAGAATAATTTTTTCTTGGTAATCTTCTTTGGTTCCACGCTTGCTAAATCTGTCTGTGCCGTTCTTTCCCAGATTACTTGTTCTCAGCATGTTAGCACATTGGTATTTCAAATCCTCTTGAGCTGTGTAAGGAGAAGAACGCTTAAGAGAAAGAACTGCAGGTAAGGAGAGCTATGAGACAGGCACCGTACCTAACTGGTGAGATCGTCCATCCCCCAGTGGGTATCTCTGGTACCGTGGGACACTGAATGGAGGCAGGAGATGGAACCTTTTCTCCAGCAATGGTTCAAGTCTGCAGGCAGAGGGGTCAGCAGAGTGAAAGAAACTGTACACTTGGCTGCAGGCTGGGCGGACCTGGCACACTTGGGTGAGAATGAGACAAAGAGAGTTCAGTATTGCCCTTTCACGATTTTCAAGGAGTCTATACAGAAACATGGTTAATACGGTCTTCTGCAAAATCCAGACTAGCATACACCTCTCCACAAGAATTTTAACTAAATGGCTATTTGGTATGTAGAGAACACTTCACTGCAAAGGAGTTCACAGACTTCACACCCAGAGATGCCGGCATGCTGCAGAGGGGAAGACCAGCCAGAGAAACAGACCGAAGTACAGAAGGAAACAGAACTTCAAAAATCTTGTAAATATTTTATTGAGCATTACAGCTATGATGCTCAGCACTTCAAATATTTACCAGCAAAATGGTTTAATGGGCCTGTTATGTCCAGAGGACTTAAATCTAGGTGACAGCAGGAGCAGGGAGGGGACAGAAAGCACTGCAGTTTCTGAAGTCACTTTATGAAAGCTAGTGTGTAGAAATGAGGTTGGTCATACTATAATAGCAAAGCAGCAAAGCAATGTTTCTGATTCTTGCTGAAGGTATGCATTTTTATTTTTCACATTTCCAGGTAGCTTTCTACCTTTCGTTTCAGTAAAAAGGGCACCTAGCTCTTTTCACCTAACTTCCAACTGTCTGCGTGACAGGTTTCAATTTGTCTGTTTTCCTCTCAACTGCACCATAATTATCACTTTAAAATGGGAATCTCTTATCCTATGTACCTCTGAAGACTAATAAGGCTTCAAGTAGACTCTGCTCACTTTGGAATGTATTTGAAATGCCAGTCAGTTGAGCTGCTCCCAAAGCATGCTCCCTGCAGGATACCAGAGGGAGGATGGAAGTGAGGAGCTAATTTGAAGAAAATAGTTTAAAATACTAGTAATTTTGGTGAAAGAAGGACTATTGCAATGCTAGAGAGTTTAGAAACATACTGTCCCAGTCCAGTAAAGTATTTAAGCATTGAAATTTGCCATCCATCTCTACCTAGTCTCAATTCTCTATAGTTCTCTCATTCATCCACTACAAATTTAAATATGTGAAGGGAACTTTGACCTGTGCACAGAGCTGCCACCGAAGTACTAGAGAAGAACTCAGAAGTTGCGTTTGCTCTTTGCTTTTCAGTATCTAAAGGTAAAAATGTAATTGTATGGTACATCAATTTATTCCAAACTGGTAACGGGAACACTTGCTGTGCAGAAGAGCTTACTCTAGATTCCTGTAGCAAGAGGCAAACTGTGGAATAGACACACTACATCTTGCCCCAGTCTTACCAGTTTCACTGTCCATAAGCCACGTCTCATACATCTTGCTAAAGGAAGCTATCAGAACTTAAAGACACTGTGTTTTCTCTTTACCAATACATTCTCGTCAATAAATGGCAAGCACATACAGTAATCAAGAGTTATGGTAAGCTTCAGAAATCTCCTTCCTTTCCAGGGCAAAGCTGTCTCTTTTTTTCTTCTCTTGCCTTGCAGCCTTCCCCAGTAACACAACTGAGTTTCAAGTTCAAAACAGCATTATGGCCTCATACAAAACGTACTCAAAATACGTAAGTCACTTTGTTTTAAAAATTACCATCTGAGACAAACCTCATTCCCATTCTCTTCAGCTGAGCTTTGTTTTTGTTGGGTGGTTGGTTTTTTTATTTGAACAAAACTGAGTACTGCAAATATGAGGAATGAAATGCAAAAATGTGAGTTTAATTATGCTCTCTTGCAAGACCATGCAACATGCTAAAAAAATCCTAACAGATCTCTAAAGGCCCCGAAAGACATGGGTTTGATCAATTTTTTATTATCACAGGTAAAATAATTTTCAGTTTATATTACATTCCACTTTATACCCACATTCAAATGTGACTTTGAAAGCTCAGTCAAATGACATTACTCAAAAATCTATAAATTGAGAAGAAAAAAAAAGGGAGTCCTGAATTGTTCTCTCTTCTCACTGCTGCAACTGATTTTTCTCCCTCACCTGAATGAACACATCATTTCCTACGAAGATGGTGTGCTATCCAAACCTCACACAATGTAAAGAGGCAAAACACACACTGAATTTTGAAAAGTAAAGTAAGCTCTTTCTTTAACTGAAAAAATCCAGATGTATTTACAAATAAAACAAAAAAACCCTGTATGTGTCTGATCACTAGGCTCTGCTACCGGAGAGGAAAAAATGGCTCACAACCAGCACCACTGAGGTCCAGACGTACCCATGAAACCAGACGTGAACAAGATGCAATGCTGAACCAAGCACAGACGTTATTTTTCGTATCTCTTTCAAGGACTGATCCTGGGCGAGGAGTAAAGCTCATGTTGTATGACGTGGAATATATGATTAACAGCAGAGCAGAAGACATGCTGCTGTCCACGGATGAGCAGTGACAGCCCGGAACAACCCTCATCGCCTCAGCACCTACCTGCACCGACACTCCCGTCTTCTAGAGGAAGAAACTTACCTCACTCCCCAGGCTTTAACTAGGCTCCTTTATTTACCTCCTTTTCTATGAGTCTCTGTTCACAAAGGTCACGAAGCAGGCTGTATTCTAACCCCAGAAAGAGCTTACCGTCCAGGCCAGGCAGAACCGTACTCCTCATGGCCAGCACCAGACCAAGCGGCGATCCGAAGAGGAAGAAATCGGACACCTCGAATTCAAATCGGCCTAGGTTCACTTCTGAGAGACTGGAATTCACAGGAGGAAAGTCTGCACCGTCTTTCAACACACTTGAGTGGATGCTGAGCAAAGAAAAATGCTCTGATTCAACAGTAACGAAGAGGGCATCCAGAGAAAGAACGCATTCCCAACACAAGCTGCTTAGAAAGCGTCTGTATTTAGATCCAAGCAATATGCCTTATACTGCAGATAGATACTGCAGTGTAGCAGCAACTTATTGCGATTTCCAGTGCAGCTATTCAGTAAATTTACTACCTTCAACATGTAAGCGTTTTCTACAGTTACTCTACAGAATATTTATTGGTAAATTATGCAAGGACTCTGAAGTTTACCTCCCCCCCCTTTTAGCAGTACAGATGTACGTAAGCTTACTCTGAAACTTCTACGAGTTCTAATGTACTGAAATTGTATAAGGATAGTGGTATTAAAAGGTTACAGTCACATGGGTGCATAAAAAGCGTTGTTCTAATCCATTCCCTGAGCTGTGAACTAGAATTTCACAGGTTAAAATTAATGATGCTTATAGATAGCTTTTAATCTTTTAAGTGATTTAAACACTTCCATTTACTTTGTACGCCATACATGCATGAGGTGAATACTGATCACCAATCCCTCAGCAACAAGACTCACCCCTCCTTTAGTTCTGCTCGAGATGAAATAACTACATTCAGAAGCAGGAAAGCAGCACACACACCCGCTGTGCGGCGTGAGACAGAGCAGAATGCGCCCCTGGAGCAAGCACAGCCTGACCGAGGGATGCTGAGCACGCCAGCTCCCACCAGCGCTGAGCTACCTGCACACCACCCCCTGCATCAGTGGCCAAGCACGGACCAGAGTCCGGAAATCCTGGAGACTGGTCCCAAATCAGGCCGAGACACCAGGCCTCTCTTTCAATCTGACAACCTAGCGGCATTCTTAATTTTATAACTGAAGCTCCAGGGACCAAGCTTAGGGCCACTTTAGGGCAGAAATGAGGAAAGCCAAGAACTGAACCCATCATCAGCTCTGCAGTCAGGAGTTGCCTCTCTCTGACAAAAGCACTCAGACAAAAAGCACAAGGTGACACACGGAAACACAACTACAGTGTGTAGGACAAGGACATTTCCGTGCGAAAGAGAGATTTTTGTAACCTCATTACTCACAGTGACACACCACCTCTAAATGAGCTCATGGGGAAAAAAGTCTTAATGACCTCATGCAAGTCTCACAGACGAGAAACCAAAGGCTTGGAATCTCTCTCTATGCACAGGGTGGGTCAGAGGATGACATGGTTTGGTTTGATTCGTGATTTTTTTCCCCCTTCTTTACCTTACCAAGGAATTTTTTCCTGCTGTCTTTAGCCTGTGTTTATCCAACCATTCCTCAATAACTTAGCAACAGCCTAAAGTCTGAGGAGTCCAAAATGTGAACAGAAGATAACACTTTTCTATCTGCTGGCTTAAGTACAGCGGCACGTAAAGCTTTCAGTTTAAAATCACAGATACACAGGAAATCATAGAATCACAGGATGGTTGGGGTTGGAAGGGACCTTAAAGATCGAGTTCCAAAGCCCCTGCCACGGGCAGGGACACCTCCCACTAGCCCAGGCTGCTCAAAGCCTCATCCAGCCTGGCCTTGAAGGCTGAAAAAAGGCTTGGAAGAAAACTGTTATTTTTGGAAGAAAACTGTTACCTTTGTCTTTTAAATCTTTTGTCTTTTCATTATCCTATTATCCCTCAAGTCTGAAGTGCTTTATACAAGCCAACACTGTGCTTTAAACGTAACACAGTACTCCTTCTATACAAGAACCTGGTCACTGACCAAAAGAATCATCGTGTTTTCAGTCATAGACAAGCAAAAAACAACCACTCTGCCTCAGAGGGAAGACACTTTACAACGCATCGGTATCCAGAAAACCCAGTGGTTTGAAAATAAGAGCAGAACAGTTGACAAAAGCAAAGCAAAGTACATTCAGTCAAAGTAAGAAAATAAAATTACCTTAAACTAACAAAACAGCCAGACCTGAAGTAAAGCACAGTAGTAAGTCTGCACTATACTCAACTGTAGCAGAACTGAAGCTTCAACACACAGTAAACTTCCCCCTCTGCATCACTCCCAATGAATAAAGGAAATAAAATGACGGACAGAGGAAAAAAAGCACAAAGAATTCAGATGAGTAAAAAATAACAGCTTAGAACAGGCAGAAACAATGAGACAAAGGGAATGCTTATCCTTGCATCAAATCTGTGTTTTAAAGGTTTTTTCAGGATTCAAGAGAGCTAATTAAGTTAACTCTCCTTCCCCAACCTCCTTCTCATTTAAGCCAAATGTTTATGCAGGTGGTTTTGTTTTGTTTTGTTTTAAAGCTTACAGGCTCCATTCAAGCCCCTTTCTGGTACTCGGTCATGGAACAGGAGTTACCTGGACAGGACAGTGTGGTGTTGGGTTATGGTATCACAGTCATAGGTGGATGAGTCACTCTGTTTCCTCGGCAACGGCTGCCTTGGCTTCTCATCCTCCAGGATTTCCAAGATGTCGATATTGCTTTTGCTCAGGCGTTTGCTGCCATCCAGACTGGAGTCCTCTGCTGAGGGGGGATTATCCTTCAGAGAATGAATAGAGCAAAACAAAGATTTAGACAGTGACCCACGTATGACAGAGCTTGTATGAAATGGCTGCATTTACACATCTGACCACTTTATCCAAGAAAGGGTGAAAGTGGTTAGACTTTCTCTCTGCAGTAGAAGATAAGGAAAGAGATGAAGACTACATTTCCCCCTAAGATGTATAGCCTAAAAGCTGGAAGATCAGGAATTTTAGGGGGGGATGGGGGGGGGAGGAAGAGGAGCAGCACAAAAACTTTATCCCTCATGACTCCATAATTCCGAGAGAACTATAAATATCACAAGGTAATCAGAAGGGGTCTTACCTGAGTGCACAACATGCCCATTACAACATTAATGGTCTTGATCATCATGTTCCATGGATGCGGGACCTGATTTTTTAAGAATGGGAACTTCTGCAGGATGCAAGAGGTGACCAGTGGTACCATATCTTTAAGGTACCCCTTAAAATAGGAAATAGATTTATTTATTGTTCATCTCCTCCAGCACTTCTGCAGCTTGCACCAGCATCCTCGCTGACATATCCCTATCACCCCCAGACTTTTATTCCTGCATCCATTCCAGTGGCCAATGCAAGCGCCACTTTTCAAAACGAACACCATCGGACTGAATCCCCCCTTCACGTGTGAGATCTGGGTGGATGATGCATGCAAGATCTGGTTCTTTCTAACAACTGTGTCATCCAATTCTGTATGAAGCTCCTATTCTTATCAACAAAATAAGACGGTGAAAATGCCTGACATCTGTTTTTACACAAGACTTCAAAGATATGAACATCAACAAGGCACACTGGGAGAACAGATACAGGTAAACCCCTTCTAATTGCATAATTGTTGGTTTTCATCCATATTCTACTACCTCTTACAACGCAGTACTAGAATTTATGGGATGATATGATACAACTAGCATTAGCATCTTAACTTGCAGAAGATTAGTTTAGGACCAGCATCTTCACAGACAATTATTCCTGTGATGGTACAATGAACACTTGGCAAGCGTGTAGGAATCTCTTTCTGCATTTCATAGCAACGTAGCAAAATTCACATCAGGCCAACTTTCGTATTAAAGTTGTGTAAGATTTAGGACCTTGCTTGGCATAATACTAACACATCTACAATGTTAAAACGAAGCCTCACTTCTTGTGGTTGTTACTGTTAATGAGTGGAGAGAACTGTTTCAGAGGGCCAAGTAGGAAGTGAGGGCTCCTGCTGTGTGTTGGCAGCTGACTGTCCTCACTGCTTTGTGTGCTAAAGTGATGTAAAACCAAAATACAATTTCCACCTAAAATATGTGCTTCTGTTGAGCTAAAGCCAGAACCAACTACATACATGCGAGCCACCACGTACTACATACCATACTACAAGCACACATGCCAGACAGTTCAATGAGGGAAGAAAAAAGTAGTTTTAGAAGGACAAGGGACTAGATCTCTGTGAGACGACGCTGGGGAAGGTCACTGGGAAACTGGTTAGGCACCGCACAAGAGAGCAGGATTCAAAGTTATTTTTTTCCCTGTTGCACACAACTCACATTTTCTCCAGCACTGCTCTCTGCACCTGTCTTCTCGGACATCGCGTTACACCACTGCTGGAGTGTCCCTGGAACACCCTTCACAAGCCACCACAGCCCCACGCGGACACAGACTGTGTCACGCTCCGTACTTCCAAGGAAGTTGCAAAGAGTGTAAAATCCAACTGGACAAAATAGAGGGTGTGAGACAGAGTGCAAGGGTTACAGATGAGGACAGAGGCACGACAGGTCGAGAGGCTTGGCCACAGTCACGCAGACAGACTGTGGAACACATGCTGAGTGAATCTGTTTCTCTGAAGCTACAGAAAGAACAAGTTCACAGGACAGGTATTTCCCATAACCTCGGTACTCGAGCACATCAGCAGCCCTGTGCACAGGGGATGAGGTTTCCTGCCAAGAAGAGATGTTGCAGACCCCACTCTGCTCTTCAGAACTATGCAGATGGACTGCGGGAAAATGAAACCAGGACAGACACAGCATATGATCGATGAGGTGAATCCTTATTCCTATTTCCAAGAACAGGGAACCCGGGAACCATAGTTAGTGCCAGTTCTGGAGCTGGCTTTTATCCCACGAACAATCCGTTCACGTGACAGTCCCCTGCAGACCAAACTGGGACCAAGTTCATTTCACACATTACTGGACAGCCCTTCGACAGGGAAAGCCTGACAACCACGTAACAGAGACAGAAGGTTATTTGGTGAGAAGAACTATCACTGAGAAATTGATTTCTCTAAACCATCTGGGCCTTCTCTGCACCTGAATGGTGAAAATTACATCAGATACTAAGAGTATGTCAGAACATCTGCACCTTGTGGCATCACAGTGAAGAAAAAGTGTTCCAATTTACTGTAGTCTGAATCATTAAAAAAAAAAAATTCTTGCTAAAAAGTCCCATACTATTCAAAAAAGCTGGCCAGATTTAAGCTCACTGGCTTGAGCGTTTAGGTTAACCTTCATGACACAGTCTTCCTTGTATACTGTAAAAGAGACCAAGCCAGTGGAGCGTCTATATTAGCCAGGTCAGGGAGTGAGATACAGCTCCGAAACAACACCCTACACCATTTAAAAAGACATGAGGCAACACATTAGAAGAAGGTTGAAGTGATCAGTATAGAGACCATTCACTGCATTTTAAACTGTTAAAAAGCTTGTTTTCCATTGCTACAAGCTCTTTCAACTCCCCCACATACCACAATTAAAATCTCATCTGCAATAAAATGGTACCAATACTGGGATCTGAATCAGTCACCTACAGGCAGCTTTTATTTATCCTTGACCCATGCGAAGCAAATCATCAGCCTCCTCAACTCATCCTAATGAAGAGTTATCTACTTCTAAATTATGAGTATTTTAGCTTTTGCAACAAAAAAGAACCATCTTCCTCTTCCAAGAGACGGTGTTCCCAACCAAGTACAGTGATTGCTAATATGAGGCTTTGGGTTTGTGCTTTTGGCAATGGACTAAGTTCACTTCATCCTTCTGTCCCTGAATAGCCCAAGGAGCAATACAATGATGACAACAACACTGGCTTTCTTTTTTAAGTATTTTGACATTTGGAAATGTAACTGATTTTTAAAGAGCAAGAGTTACTAGTCTGGTCTGAACAGAGTGACATTTGCTCGGCTGCAGATTCTTTTATTGAACATATAGGTAAATTTTCAAATACTGCCCTGTAAAAGCATGTACACACAACAATCATCATGATCTCAGAAATCATCCACATTTCTGCCTACACTGTACAAGTCACTACCTATTATGGGTAATTCTGACTTAACTATTCAGTGTATATTGGAAACTAAAAAACACAAAACAGACTACAACATACAAACCAACAAATACTCACCTGGGATAGTAGAAGAATGCACTATTCTAATTCCTTATTTACATTGCCTCACCAAATTAATAGGCCCTCTCTTTCCAAAAGGAAGTTTCTAGTGCCTAAAACTGTGAACTATTCAGAGCATGCAAAGGTCACTGCATCACCAACCTAGCATATTATCATAGCCCACTCTGAAATAGAGTAAAAAGGGAACTGTACAAACCTAATTTACTCTATTTTCACTGTTTATAACCAGAACATAAAATGCAATGGCACCTCAGTCTCGTCCTTCCAACTATTCATTTAACAAATGTCCCTGATGTTCATGAAATGGTAATGTAAAAAACTCTCTTATATTTCTGCATCTCAAGCTCTTCCAATGAGATCCATTTTTACTGGAGAGACCAAGGAAGAGGGAAAAAAAATTGTACACAGTAATGAAGCTTACAAGCTATCATTAAACTGAAAAATTGCACTTTTACTATCATAAAATCTTGCCTGGATCACAGTTAGAAGTACTCCCCCCTTCTCTCCAAACATAGCATTCATACAGACACTGTTATGCTCAGTGGTCTGTTCACAGATCCTCAAGGGACTTGCTCCTTATCAGGAAGGAGGCATTCCTTCACCAGTCACTAAAACTTATTCACAAACACATCATAACGCTACACTACCCCCAGGCAGCAGCATAAAGAATTCCAGAGCCCACGTGAACAA